CAGGGAGTCTTAGAGAACACCAGGGAGACCAGGGTTCAGGGGCAGGATGTACTAATTCTGGAAAGAGGAGAGGATGTGGAAGAAATGTGGGAGAGTCTAGGGCTTGGCCAAGCAGAGTTAAGATCAGAGTTCGGCACCAAGATCCCCACCAGAGCAGCAGACAGGCTGGACTTCTCACTGTACACAGCCTGGGTGGGGGCTGGTCCCCCAAGACTGAACTCACCTACAGGCCCCCACAGTGAGCAGTCAGGAGCTTCAGGGTCAGGGATCTCAGTGTGTCATCCAGGTGTCTCCATTAGACTAGGCAGTTCTGAATTTTTATTTCTTCTCGCTCTTAGCAACACATCCACTGTGACGTCCTTGCTCCTCCACAAAGTCTCCACCTCTGTCTGTCTGTCTCCCTTCCCTCCCTCCTCAAATGCCCTCTCCCTCCCTCTTTAACTGCGTACGTATTGATTCTGATTTCACTTTGCAGGGCTACCGTGTGAGTGTGTGTTTGTGTGTCATTGCGGTTGGGGGGCTGAGGCCTCAGGACGATGGGGAGGGGAGCAGGGATGTTGGGATGGGGAGGGTCACCCATCTCTCCCTCACTGGCCAGCTGGAAACGTGCCCTGGGACCTTCCAAGCTAATCAGACAACCTTTTGTCTTGACAGAAGGGAGCTTTAAAACAAAACAAAACAAAAACAAAAACAAAAAAACCCTAGCTTTCTTGGCTCTTGGCCTCCTGAGAGGTAACGGAGAGGATCTAACTGCTGGAAAGTGGAGTCCCAGCCCCTGATCCCCATGCCAGGGGCCATCAACCGTGAGCAGAAACCTCCATCTTGAAAATGCCAGGCAGAATGAGAAAACCTCAGCTCACAGGACTCCGGAGTCTCAGGGCTCAAACCCTGAGGGCATCTCAGCAGCAGCTGTCCAGAGTCCCCGACAGGCAGGGCGGGAGATCAGGGGTGGGAAAGGGCCACCCTTCGCATTCCTTCTGGGGTCACCTGCCCTGCAGCCCCCAGGCAGACCCTCCGCAGTGGCCCCCACCAGCCTCCCGGGGTCACCAGTGTAGCCTCAGCACAGGTCCAGTCGGTGCCAGCTCCTCCTCGTGGAAGCATCCACGTCTCAGCAATGTCCTTCTCCCAGACCCTGCTGCCTCAGCCCCGCCGCCCAACCCTATCATGGGCCACCCAGGCTCTCCTCCCCCAACCTCCCCTTGCCTGGCCACCGACAGTGTCCAAGCCCCAGGCTGTGCTCTAGGGACATTCCAAAGGGACACCAGTGGCAGGGAGAACAAAGGCACAGCTATTGGGGATGGCCCCGGGGCTCCTGGAGCTCACACGAGGACACAGAATTCTCCCAACGAGCACAGCAACCCGGCCTGGACCTCAGAGCATGAAAAGCCTGTGGGGCTGTGTTCTAATGAGAGGAGGAAGTGGCACCATTGAAGATGCCACCACCTTGCCAGCCTGCGTCCCCTGACCACTGATGATCTGACTCTGTCCTATTTCCAGCAGTAAAGCAGACAACACACTGGAAGGGGGCACCAGCCAAGCTCATCTCCTGTAGCTGCCATCCATCCTCGCTGGCCCCGTGACACCTGCCTGTCCTGCTCCAGCCCTGCAGGCAGCAGGAGGACCCAGGTCAGGACTGCAGTACATCCCCAGGGTCCAGGGAGGCTGGACCAACACCACTCGGGGTCACTGGGGCCTAGTGGGAGGCAGCAGACGGGTCGGAAGGCAAGGTGGGCTGCCCCAGGCAGACAGCCAGGCATGGGTGGATTGAGGGCACCATCCCGACTCCTGAAGGAGTTCTGCCTTCTCAGGGGGAGCCCTTGCCAGGGTGGGAAAGAGAAATGTATATGAGACACCTCATCGGCAATCACCATCCAAGACAGACTGACAACCTTTCTCCAAATCACCCAGACAACTCAGCATTCAAACTTCATGCACAGAGACCACCCCAAACACACACACATACTATGTACACGTTTGATTCTCTGGACTTTACTTCCCAGAGTGATGGTTATTATCTCTTTACACTTGGATTTGTTAACCTAGTGACTCACAGATAATTTTACACTTTCACCTGCTACTCAGGTGACCATAAGGTGAATGAGCTCTCAGCCAGACAGTTAAGCCTCCCATCAGTGGGATTAACTGTTCAAAATCCACAGCGTAGTTTTAAACCAAATGGTGTTTTTCCGTTTGGAAAAAAGATGTTTTCCACAATGGTGGGTGATGACCACATGCAAACTCCTCATGAAAAATGTATGTATAACCTAAGTTTAACCAAAGTCCAGAATATTTGCCAGCAGTTATTTCAGGGGGGAAAAAAATCAAATTTCTTGCTTCTGCAAAAATTACTGACTGAGAAAAATTTCAACATGTAAGGTATTATAGTGAAATTATAAAGCGATAACCAACCTAGTATTAAACGAATTTATTTGATCCCACTGACAGTACTGAAGAGTAGAGGACTCTCAAATAAGTAAAGAAATCAGAGTCTGGTTTTTTCCCCCACAAAGCTTGATCATAGGTGTTTGCTAATCTTTGACAGATTCTACTTTATTTTAAAGGGGGTTTATGTGCCCACTTCCCACCTAATGTCATCAATACCTGACCTTTGAAAATTAAAATTGACATTTACAGCGCTTCCCCATCGTGCCAGCGTTACCAATTACACTTAGCACCAGCTTCAGATGTGACATGTGCTCACCTGCCCTCTGGCTAAAGATAGCTATCATTGATATCAGAAATGGCCAACGTTCCCTGCCTGCTTCATAGGCTATTAGGCCACTGTGTGAAATAGGTAGATGAATCACTCACCAAAGGGGAGCCCCGACTTCACCCAACACAGGGTGCCCAAAACTTTTGTGTGTATCAGCCGCTCAGATGGTTTTTATCAATTAAAAATAGACCTATTCACACTCCCATTCACCATCGCATAAGATTTTGCAGAACCTAAGGGCCCTACAGTTTCAGAACAAGAACCCAGAAGACCCTGGGCTCAAAGATCCACAAAGCTGAGCATTAGCCTCCTGTCTATCTTTGCTAACATCATGTAACCTATTTTCAGTGATGCCGCAATGGGGGATCTGTCTGAATTCCAGATGATCTACGGTGCGTACACACTAAAGAGTTCTACCAGGTTTCCCTTGAAGCACATCTGTGCAATTTACACTACAATAATTCTCCTTCTTGCTGAAAATTTTTCCTAAACCATCTTAATTGCTTGAGGCAATTATACTATATTGTAATTAGCACATTGCCTTGTAATTATTTGCTTTGTGAATGTATCTCACCACTCCCCTCCACCCTCCTCCACCTCCAGATATGAGCTCTTTGAAAGAGCTCCCTCTGGCCTCAGCAGCCACCAAGTGCCTGGTACACAGAAAAACTTGGTAACGCTGGTTGAACTGAGTGAATGAGAACTGAAGCCACAATGCCAACAAATTCTTCCTTCTTGGATTCTGTCATGACCCCTACAGCTTAAGTTACATTTAAGTGGTTATTCAACCAGGCTTGTCACATACCTTAAACACCCATTGCAGGTGTCTATCGAGTAACCATGCTGGACCAATGCAATGTGGAAAATAAACCCTTATTGTCAGGGATTTATATATTTGACTCCTATCTTGTCTCCCTCCAAAAAGGAAATTAATAACCCTGACTACTAGTGTCCCTAAAGCAAATCTCACATTAAAATTAAATAAGTGTGTGGCATGCTTAGCTCAACGTCCAGCCCACGAGGATGAATAATGGGCATCAGCTCTCTGTCCCCATGCTCTGGCTCGTGTCTCCAGCAGTGATAAAGCTCGTAGGGGGAACAATTTCGTTAAAGCCTTCCCCTCTGCTCACACCTGCTCTATATCAGTTTGGGCCAGTGGCATTTAGTAACTCATCCAGACACCTATTTACAATCTTATTTCTGAAACCAATGGACGGTTGCTCTGTTTAATTTTACTTGCCTCTCACCCCGCCCCCACCTCCAGCTCTAGTTGTTTGATTAAAACCAAACCAAAAGTAGAACGTACCTAGTGGGCCCCATGCATGCAAAAGATAACTAGGCAACAAAAAGATGTTTTTGACCATATTCAAAGTTGACCAAGTACAGGATCCTTGTTATCAAGGAACAAACAAGAGAGCCTTCTTCACATATAAATGTGAACTGAAACTTAACCTTGTGATATTATGCAGAAAAAGCTGGAATAGGGAAGAAATGACAAGTGCACCAGAAGCAGCACGCAGCTTACTGACAGTGAGACTGTGTTCACCTGAAGAACTGTGCCAGCAACAAAGGAGAGCTTTCCTGATACAGACCAGGAGGTGGATCCCCGTGGAGCAGAAAGGTAAAAATAGCCAACCAACTCTGTTTGCTCATTAAGTCACAGTCTCATCATAATGTAAGTCTCTGAGGATCCCTGACTAAAAATTTCCCTAAACCAATGGAGGCAGATATTCTGATCTTTGTTGAGAAATCACATGAGAACCTGGATCCCAAAGTCTATTTTTCTAGGGGAAACAGAAACTCATAAGTTGAGGACCAGACCCTACCCCTTAGAGATCCCACCCAGATGCAAATTCCCAATGCGATACAGCTGCAACCATCACAAAGGACAACGTGACCCGAGGGATTAGTACGTTGCCACGATAATACCCCAAGCAACTTGGAGACATGCTGGAGCTGAGGCGGGGAGTTGGTTCAGTCAGGTAGGTGAAATCTTAAATGCCTATCAGGGTGACAAAGTAAGATCACTCATGACAGTCTAACTGACAGTCGTGTTTTGCTCTGATTGTAGAAGCAAATGCCTCAAAATCTACAAAGCAATCAAAAACAACAGAAGCAATTCTGACCCCTAGACATGGACACTTTAAGGAACTGCCATCATGTTCTGAGACTGTCCACAGGCCTCAAGGGAAGTCCATATGTCTGCCCGGACCGAGTTGTTGGTAGGCATCCAGCCTCCATGCCCTCGAAGGGTCACAGCCAAAGAAAGAAACCCAGGTGTACTTACGCAGGGCGTGCCACTCATCCTGGCGGATGGTCTTGGTGATGTTGAAAGTGAGGTTCCGGGGGATGGTGGCTGAGGAGTAGTGGTATTTGATGTACGTGCACCGCTCAATCTCCCCTGGCAAAGAGAGCAGGACACCGAACGTTAGTGAGGCAGCAACCGACTCTGCGGCAGTTTCCAAGGCCCAGTTTTCTGTCCTGGGGAAGGGACTTGTCTCCCACTGGGCTTGGTGACACCTACAGTTTATACACACAAGGTTACTACCCAGCCTCCCAAAGAGCAAGGGAGTGGAACAAAATCAACCACCATTGATTTAGATAGAAAAATGTATCTCTGGCATCAGAGGTGGGAGGAGTCAAAGTTTAGGCTGATAGCAGCTTATTAAGAAAGTCCCAGCCATGTTTATTTAATCTTAAGAAAACCAACTTTCACATCAAGGGAAGAAGTTTGGCATCAAAAAACAGTTTGTATCCACAGACCAGCAGAGAGCAAGCTTCGGCCTTAATGGTGTCGTTTGTGATTTGTAGCACATGCTGTCTTGTGCAACAGTGAGCTAGAGGTGGCCTCTTCCATTTCTCTATCCCATGTACCCCGTCTCACCTCTGAGTACAATGCACTGAATTCCACCGTTATCTCCTTGAACCAGTCTCTTCTCGGGTTGCTTGGAAAAAAGTAAAGCCCCTTAACACACTCAACGCCTGGTCTAATAGGATTTTTACTGATAAGTTGTTATCAATCAATGCATGCTCTGCTAGTCAAATTATCAAAATAGTCCTACATCTTAAAGCAGAAGTTCTCAGAGTGTGGTCCTGGAACCACAGCATCAGCATCCTCTGGGAACTGGCTAGAAATGCAATTTCCCAGGCCCCACCCCAGACTTGCTGAATCAGAAACCTGGAGGGAGAGTCTACAATCTGAATTTTAACAGGCCCTCCAGGTAATTCTACAGCAGACCTAAGTTTGAGAACCGCCGCCTTCGAGAATCTAACAGAACTGCCAACATATTAGCTCATAAATCCACAGTGTTTGCAAATTTCAAAAAGAGGGCATGATCAGGAGGTTTTGGTTTCCGGCCGGCATTTCTATTGACACTGGCTTATCTGGGGGCTATTAAAACTCAGTGTCAGGGCAATGTGAAGAATCAGGAAAGGAGTGATTTTTAAAGGTTAAGGGTTTTAAAATTTGGTTTTGCACCTGAATGGATTTTGATGGTAATCCATTTTGCACCCCACTGATTTTCAATTTATAAGTGGTGGCACCTGATTGAATTGTTTGACCCCTGGCTCACTGTCAGCAGGGAACCTGGCAATTGGTGGAGTGCAGTCATTTAGACCATGCCTTATTGTAAATCATATCTGGACAACCACCTAACTGCCAGTCATTGGTAGACACTCCTCTGATGGGACAGACGTTGTCCAAAGAGGCAAGGTTTGGGGAAAGTGTTATGCACTCTTTTCCTTTTATCTGTAATTTCTCAATCCCTCTGTCTCTGTTCCCTTACAAATCCCTGACAATAAGGGTTTATTTCCCACATTGCATTGGTCCAGTGTGGCTACTTGATAGACACCTGCAGTGGATCTTTAAGATATGTGACAAGCCTAGTTGAATAACCACTTAAATGCAAACATCCTGAAGTCTCTCCCATGCTCCACCATTCCCCTGGACCACACCTCTACATCTCCCTGGCCCCATCTTCCTTCTTCCCCAACTTGCTAGATTTCTTGCAAAAGTAGTCTACCAGATAGTCTCTGTTTCCTCAACCCACATGCTGTCATTTCCATGACAATTTCCATTGATAGCATCACTTCCCATCCAGTCTACAACATCACAAATCCCACTGTCATCCCCAGTGCTTTCCTCCCTCTCATGATGCCCCTCCTCCCTGACATCCAACTGGTCACCCAGTTCTGTCCCTTCAGTGCAGAAATGTCCCTGGAATCCAGCCTGTCCTCTCTGTCCCCACTCCCTCTTAGTAGCTGCACGAAAACAATGACCGATCTCAACAAACAAGCACGTTTACTGAGGGCTTACTAGGTAGAAGAGACTTACCAAGTGCTTTGCAGGCCGGTGGTTTCCAACTTCACTCACATGGAGAAGATGTGTGTCAGGCACACAGGATAAGCAGACCCAGCTGCCAGGCCCTGTCCAGCCTCCCCAAGGGCTGAAGGAAATACTCACCCCTCATCCATTCGTGGGTTCTGAACTTGGCCCACCAGCGGGACTCTGTTATGAACACTGTCTGACCAATCCTTTCTCTAACCCAATTAAGTAGGTGTTATTACGATCATCACCTCTATTTTATAAGCAAGAAAATGGAGGCTTGGGAAATTACGTGACTTGCTAAGGGAGCGGCAGTGCCAGGATGAGAACCCAGCACTGTCTGATGGCAGTCTCCTACCCAAGGCCACCACCCTCCACCCGGCTGCTCGGACTGTATTCCAGAAAGGAAAATGCCATCTCTTTTACACACACTCCACAGGCAGAAAGTCCCAGCCCCACCTCCAGCTGCTCCGTGGCCCCAGCTATCACACACACTGGGCTCCAGCCAGGCAGCTCCCCACCCTGCCCTGATAATGCCACATCCACTCACTGTGCCCCTACTCTCCTCCCTGCCTGTCCCTCACCTGGTACACACCTACTCCTCCTACAGCTCCCCAGCAAAGCCTTCCTCGCATCTAGGACAGCACCCAGCAGCAGGCATTCAACAGCCCCTCCCTCTCCCTCCCTACTGCAGCAAGCAAACCAATGGGCTGTGATTTATCTGTTTACATGCCTCACTCCCCTACTGGCTGATGAGTTTCTCAAGGGCAGGGACTGTCTTATTCATTCATCTTTATCTCCCTGGCCCCCAGCACAGGGTGAGCACCAATAACACGTGCTTTAAAGAAAAGAATGAATAATATAAGATGCCCTTTAGAAGATCTCAGTGGGCAAGGAATCCAACTGCTTCTATCACACGCAAGGGATTAAAATAATTGAGGAAAATTAGAATGTAATGAATAAATGAGGTGACTGTTGCAGAACTCTGTGAGTCTACAGTAAACACTTCTTCCCTGTCTGGACAATGTAAGGGGAGGCTTGTCAATCACAGTCAGGGAGAAGAAACCACACATGAGCACGGAACAGCCTCTAGCTGCACTTTGTAAATCTAATCCGAGAGTCAACCAGGTCAATGGTTTTGGGGGGTGGCAAAGAGGAAGAAAATAAAGAGGAGAGGGAGATTGGTTGTTACATGAATATAAGGAAGAGAAGGTTGTTACACGATTATCAGCAACAACCACATGGGACATATACAGTTGAGCAGGTTGTGCACTGCACAAGGATGCCTCCCAGAGAGACCTGGGTGCTAAAGTCCAGCTGCTGCTCTGCTTCCCAAGATGCACAAGCTGGTGGGATATGTGGGGGATGTCCCTGCCAGAGAGGGTGCCTTTGTTTGATTTGGACAAAGATGTCATGTGAACTAGCAGCCACACTGCACTCCATAATTTCAAGATCAAACAAAACACTCCCTGGACCCAGCTGCGGAGACAAAACAAGATCCCACCAGTAACGGCCAGACTAGTGCCCATCCCTTGTGTCTGAAAAATGTACCTAATTTCTTGGCTAAGATCAGGTTCTCTCAGCCTCAAAACAAACTCAACAAGTGGCCACAGGCCCCAGGCTCTCTGAGTCTCCCTCATCTCCAGCCTGCCTGGCCAGTGATGTAAGAGGCAACTTGACACAGAACAAGGAGCCGGCAGACAGGCACCGCGGGCATGGCGGGCGGGCAGCCGGGAAGCCCGGCTGGAGAACTTCCTAGAAGCCCCGCTGGGGGCGCTCACTATTTGCTTTGCCTCAGGGATGCAAGCATCCTGCCTTTGAAGGCAATTAAATTTGAAACCCTCAAATATTGCCTAAGAAAAAAGGCAAAATATTTACCCATGTGTCTGCAGGTCCTGTCAGTGTGCTGGGCTTTTGTCAATACAGGCGCCATCTGGGCACCAAATTCGTGTGCCCAGAATGTGGGCTTCCCAGTACAAACAGGTTTTCCAGCAAAGAACGGCACGGAGGGGTTATCTGGAAGGCAATGGAGAAGCCCACGGCCTTACCTGGAAAGAAAATCAGACTTATCTTCCCTAATTCCTTCAGCCCAGCCCAGAGATGTGAGCTTCCGCCTCAGGAAGCCTCAGTTAAAGGGCTGGATAACTGGTTGGTGAGGCAGCAAGGAAGTCCCCTCAGGACTTTATACCTTCAGCCACGCCCTGCCTTCTGAGTTAATGACCCTCTTATCCACATGTCGGAGTCCCAGCGAGACAGGACACCCAAATGGGTAACTGAGGAGAGCTTCCAAAAGGGACAATTTACAAAGCTGCACACACAGTGTAAAGAGACCAGCCAAGGGTGGTGCAGAGACCTAGGGCTGGCCGCAGAAGGACTTCGTGTAATCCTGAGGCCTGGAGAGGCAAAGGAGGAACCAGTCACCAGAACCTGGAGATGGTGGCCGTGGGAGAGAGGTGAGGCAGGCTCTGGCAGAGGGTTACAGCCATCCTGTGGTGAGGGGCAGGCAATGCGCACCCTACCTCTCACCCTCCTATCCTGCCAGTTTCCCCCAGTAGCTGAACCCAACTCGAAACCAGCAGGCAGGCCAGCTTCCAAACACAGAGCAGGTGCAAGGCAGGGACCGGATCCAAGGGACAAACACAGGCATCTAGCTCATTCCTGGATTCTTTCTCTTTCCTCTCACATATCCCCGGCCCTTTCCCTCTAAACCATCACTCCAGCATCCCTTAGTCCAATGCTTCCCCTCCTCCACTTCTCAAAGTCTTCAGTGGCAAAGAGAGAACAGAGCAAGACTGTTTCCATTGTTTTTCTCCATTTCAAATCCTTTAAGAATCCTTTAAGACTCAAGGCCTAAGTATGGTCATTCACATCAAGTATAATGTTTGGTCCCTGCACATAGTAAGTGCTCAATAAAATATTAGTTGTTATTATCAATAGCTGTCCTAAGATTACTTATTTTAAGGGGGCAAGACCACAGGAAATCAGAAATAGTATCAGCAACCAATGTTTACATCTTGCTACACACACACATACACACACACACAGTGGAGGGACATGGGGGAAGGGGAAAGAGGGAG